TTTTTTTTTAATACACAGCGCGTCTCGACGCGCGAACTTTGGGCATAGGAGAAGAAGATGATGAAGAGAAGGAGAAGGAGATAAGCGGGGAGAGGTAGACGAGGGTGATCAGAGGAAGTGATCGATGTCGGGATTGAGAGGGGGCGAAATAGGTGGAAGAAAAGCGGCCATTGTCGCGGGAATCGTCGGAGCATCTTCCTCCTGGAAGTGGTGTTGGACGATCGAGGGATAGAGCAAGGCCCCCGGCACATGAGACAAGACACGTGGCGCCAGATCCGCCACCGCTCGCACCACCCGCTTGCGCACCGATCGGGGCCCTGGACCCTTCATCACCACATGAGTCTCGGTGTAAGGCCGCCGCTCCCGCTTCTCCGCCGTGAAGACAAGGAAGTGGTACATCACATTAGGATGCTGCCCGGTCTCGTAGATGAGCGTCCCAGCCAGTCGCGCTGCAATACACCCTTGAAAAGGGGGTGTCAGATATGGCTCCCACACCGGATCAGGGCGCGGCGCCCCCGCGATGGCCTCGAGCCTGATGGTGGTGGGCTCCACCATGAAATCCACCTCTGTCGGATGGACCGTCCGGCTTGGAGGAACTGCTAATGTCAATGATCGGGGCACCCCGGGGTGACTGGTGGGAGCGGAGAGGTCCCGCGAGGACGGGGGGTCTGGATATGGGATCCGGTATTCCCATTCGGCTTCCTCCCCCGGCTGCTGCTGCTGCTGATGGCACGGCTCCATCAAGATTGAGATCGGCCATGCGCGGGAAGGGCGGCGATGGCACGACAGTCGCCTTAACGAGCGTCGCCTCACTCCCAGGCGCGGGGTCAAGATTCCGCGTACGCGCGGGCTGAATCACCTCCTCGCCGCCACCGATTCTGCTGCCTTGCGCTCCTGGCGACGGGTGGCGTCTCTTCCTCTTCGGCGTCTTCTTGGGGGCCTTGGGTGGCGCCGGTCGGGGATACGACGAGGGAGGCCACAACGGCTTTTCCTCCGGGAAGTCCTCCAACCTCTTCGCGCGCTGCGCAATGTAATCCGGGATGACGACCGCGTTGTACGTTCTCCGCGGGGCCGTCGCCGTCCGCAATCGTGGCTGGTTCTCCTCTTCAAGTTCCTCGCTCGCGATCACTTGCACAATGGAGAGGAACTCAAGATGTATGAGCTCCAACAATCCCGGATCGATCGTCTGGAGCTGGGCGAATGGGTACAGCGCCACCGTCCCCTCCTTCTGCGCCGGCTTGGGCCGTGTGATGATGTAGTAGACGACGAAGTGCTCCCCGATGCAGTGGTCTTCGTGATCCAYGAAGAATCGGAACATCCCCAACGCCACCGACTTGTACAGCGCACGGTGCAACTCCCACGCGTCTTCGTCTGCGAAGGGCAGCGGTTCCACGTCAGTTAGCTCCACCAGATACTTCGAGAACTCGCGCATAGGATAAGGGCCCTCCGTGAGTTGATAGGGGAGAGTGGTGTAAGAGAAGAAGGGAGGCATTTAGTACGGGGCAGGGGGAAGAGCTTGGAAGTTGAGAGGGGCAGCAGGAGGAAGAAGCGCGGGTAGCTGCGGCACCAATGCGATCCTTCTGTCCTCTGCCATGCGCAGCAGAATTTCGTGGGCTGTGAATCGGTGTCCCCCCCATCCTTGCACTCTGGCCACCGATCTGGCCGCCTGCACCGCGTACTCGCGCACAAAACTTCGCGCCAGCTCCCGACTCGGCGGTGGCAGGATCGTCAAGTCGCAGATAAAGGTGGCGACGCTATGCACGAAGTTGGGTGCCACCTGGAGCGTGCGGAACTCGATGAACACTCGAGTCGTCTCCCGCCCAGGCAACTGCGTCAGGTCCACGTACACCCCCGCATACGTCAACCGATCACAAAGTAACGAGTACGCCGCCAGATCAGCAACCCCGGGCGCTGGCACGTTCACCTGCTGAATGTCGTACCGCAACTGCCTTTCCTCATTGAACTGATGTCACAACAAGCGATCTGCAAGCGGCGTCTGGAAATGCTCGAGGGGCTCATGCTCTGGCTGGCGATGGTTCATCCTGCTCCCTGAAACTCTCAGCACCAATGGACGAGGCAGATCGGGAAGAGGAGGAAGACGAAGAAGGAGAGGATGATCTCGCAGGAGCGGAGGTCCGTATGGGGCCTAGCGATGGCTGGAAGGGCCGGAACGCGGCAGTGTGCCGTGTCAGCGGTCGGGCCTGGGAGTTGTGACGGGGAATCAGCTTCACAGAGTGCTGTCCCTGTGCGCCAACTTCCGTTACCTCGTAAATGCCTGTGTAGCGCGGATGAATCTTGGAGGAGCGCGTGGATTTTCGTACCTGCACCAAGTCCCCAATTTTATAGCGAGGAAGTGGTCCCGCGGACGCATGTCGGTTCTCATAATCGCGGATCTGCCGTTGATGCATCCGATCTACGGCCCGCTGTTGCCGGCGAGCTAACGGGGGATAGGCCCTAGCCATTAAGTCCATGTARTGGCGGGCCTTATCTCTGTGYTGGGYCCGTRTTGCTCTAACTTCCGTACCTACCAAGGGGGACAACTGCACCCGAGGGACACTATTGGTTCTCAGTTGGAAGGGGGACACCCCAGTACTACCATGTGGGGTAGCCCGATAGACGGCCAAAATGTGGTCGACAATRACAGGCCAGGGYCGGGTGTCTCCCGCAGTGATATTCCGTCTAAGAGCGGTCTTAATCAGTCGGTTGGCATTCTCTACCAGGCCATTGGCTTGAGGCCAATGCCCCGGCGAGTAGATAATCTTAACGTCCGCCCTGACTAGATGACGTTCTACTTCGCCTTGAAATTCCGACCCATTGTCCATGTGTACCTCTTCTACGTCTAGATGCATGCTAAAAAATCGGTTTACGTATCAGGCTACCTCCTGCGAATTCCGACTGGTCATAGGGTACGCCTCGATCCATTTCGAAAAATGATCGACGGCCACTAAAAGAACATTGAGCTCTCCCTGATCGACTGGACCTCTCGGAACGTTGATATCCGTCGTGTCGATGCTAACCCTCTGAAAGGGGCGCTCTACACGAGTAGGCTCCATCGTTCGAGGCATCTGTACCGACGCCTTGTCCGCCGCGCAGGCCGGGCAATTCTGGACGATGTATTTCACATCTTCCCGAATTCCCGACCAGTACCATCCATTCTTTTCGATGGCTTTTTCCGTGTACTTGACCGCGAAATGGACCGCATCCTCTTCATGAGCGGCTCGTGTCCAATCGAACCTAGCGAAAGGGTGCGGAACCGTCAACCAGCTAGTCCCTCCGCCATCATCGACTTTTCGTTTTTGTAACGTCGGTCCCTACCAGCGGTAATCCTGCGCCCGCTCCGTGACTCTCCGCCGCTCGGCTTTGGTAAGTTCTGACAGCGAGTCGCCTGACAGCCTCCGTAGCAACAGAAGGTCCGTCCAGACTTCTGCCCAGCGGGCACTTGGCGCGAATCCGTCAGCGGCCCCTGCGTCCAGATACCGTTTCTCGGTAGGGACTTGGTCCGTTCTGCAGTTGGGACAGACCCACGTCTTTTCACTTCGGTACCTAACGCATTGTCCGTGGGATTTGACCGCTTGACACTGACTACACTGCACCCACAAAAGAAAACTGGGCCCTCCCGGATGTAACCCTTCTTGGTCCGGGACCATAGGCAAGGTACAGAAGAAACAGGGACTTAGATGTGTTTCAGAGGACGGGTAGGGACTAGACAAGAGAGCGAGGGAGTTGGATGAGGGCAAGGAGATAGCGTCTGCCATCTCCGGCGAAACCTCCATTCCGGACTCAGGCGTCGTCCTTGCGCGGCACGTGTAGCTCCCCGTAGCGCGGTTTCGTCGCCGCGGCTTCGGGCCTCCACGGAATGAGTCGCTCGTTGGCGGGACACTTGTTGGGCGGCAGGAGGCGCGTCAATCCATCGGCGTTGTCATGCTGCCGCGTGACACGGTGGCGGATGTCGAAGTCATAGTCCTGCAGACGCACCGCCCACCTTCCCAGCGTCCCCGTGTAGTCCGTGTTGTTGCGTAGGGACAGCAGCGGCTGATGATCCGTTACCAACACAAATTTCTGGTCGTAAAGCTATGGTCGGAAATGCTGAATCCCCCACACCACTACCAGGCATTCGCCTTTGCATGCTTCGTAATTAGCCTGCGCCTGGCCCAGCGTCTTGGATGCATACTCAATGACGTGTTCCCTTCCGTCCGCCCCGTGCTGAGTCAGCACCTCCGATATCGCTTGCGGCTACCAATCGGTGTACAGTGCGAACGGTCTTGCCGGGTCGGGACGCACCAACACAGGAGCAGATGTTAGAGCCTCCTTCAACGCCTGAAACGCTGCTTCGCATTCCGGCATCCAGATCAGCTGCTCCTCTTTCTTCAGCAGGTTCGCTAGGGGCTTCGCTACACCAGCGAACCCCTTGATGAAGCGTCGGTAATAGGATGCCAGCCCTAGAAAAGCCCGAACCTAGGTGAGTGTGACCGGCGTCAGGGCTTCTTGAACTGCTGCCACCTTCCTCGGATCCGGTTTTAGACCATCGACCGTGACGATGTATCCCAAGAATGAGATCTCCGACAAGAAGAACTCGTTTTTCTCCAAGGCCACTTTGAACCCCGCATCTTTTAGTGCATGCAAAACCCACTCAATGTGTTCCACGTGGTACTCGTGTGTTTTTGAAAAGACCAAAATATCATCCATGTACACAATCACGCAGAAATTGATCAGGGGTTGGGTTGGTCGGGTTTTGTTAACGAACTGAGCGAAGGCCATATTCATGGCCCGCTGAAACGTTGTAGGGGCGTTACCAATTCCCATGGGACACCGGACTCATTGCCACGTGCCCTCAAATAGGACAAAAACGATTTTGGGTCGGTCTTCCGGTCGGACTGCGACATGGTGAAAACCGTGTCGGATATCGAACTTGGAAAAGACCCGAGCAGACCCGATAGCATCTAATAAATCGTCGATTCTCGGCAAGGGATACACATCTTTGGTAGTGATAGCGTTCAATTTTCGGTAGTTGATACATACCCAGACCGAACCATTTCGTTTTGGCACGAGGACCACGGGAAAAGACCACGGTCCCAGCGATGGTTCGACCCACCCCAACAACTCGAATTCCCGTACCCTTTCCAACGCCAGCTGTCTTTCTTTAAGGGAATATCGGTACAGTCGGCAATGTATCGGGGCGTGATCCCCGCTATCAATCGCGTGTTGTATCAAAGGCGTTAGCCCTATGTCGTGGTCCTTAATACTGACAGCTTCAGGATAGGCCCGTATAACCGCCAAGAGGAGGCGTCTGTATTCATCCGGAACACGGGCTGGTAACTGAACTTCTACGGTTCCCCCAGGAAGGGAGACCGTCGTCGTAACCGTGGGGACCGCCGCACTGGCATCGAGCGAGGCCCCAAACAAAGAGTTGTCGGTTTTCGCCGAAAGGACAGTCGCAGTAAGTTGACTGTCCGCCGGACTCATCGGCTCGCTTTCCATGTCACTGTCACTGTCCAGTTTCGGTTCGGCCGAGGGTTCTACCGAGAAGGCCTGCGTCAGTTCCCTCGGTCCCCACCGATATTCCCTGGTTCGGGGTTGAAACAACACCCTCTCTTTCAAGAGTATCGCGGCTTTTTCATTCGTGAGTAGGGGCCGTGGAGGTCGAAAAGATAAATTGCACATCCCCTTAAGCTCGGTAAATCTTTAAGGTAGGGGGTCCGTCCTGAGATATAAGGACGCAGGGGGTTCCGAAAGGTCAACTGTTCGGGACACCCTCAGCAGGGGTTCCCCCTGCACCACGAAGGAGAACGCGTGCGACCAATTGGACTCACTCCGAACTATTTCCAGGGGTTCTCGTCGCCAGGAATGGTGCCACCGATCCTGAACCCGGATCGGATATCGGTCAGGAACGTCAGTCTCGTCAGTTCCCGACGAGGTTTCATTTTCGCCTGGCGACAGGCGTCGGATCATGTTGATTTGGTGGGCTTTCGTGGTGATTCGAGGAGCCGGCTGGGTACGCATACGCACCGCCAATCTCATTGGTATCGTTTGTGGTTTGGGTTGGGACGATGTGAGCACCACCTTACAACTGTCAAAGTGCATTCGCGCTCCAACCGTCGCCTGCCATGGAATGCTTAGCAGAACATCATACGCTTGTACATCCAGCACGATTGCGTCGCATAAACAATGCACCCGCCCCACCCGTATAGGCACGTTCGTTATCCCCGACCTCACGCCCCCTCGCAGCTTCCCATAATGGGTCGCCGATCAGAGTTCTAGGAGGGGCGTGGCCGAGGATTTTTGGCCGTAGGGGTTGAGTCTCCCGGACGGAACGGGAGACTCTCGTTTCGTACCAGAGGTTACCCCGGAGTCGAACTGTCGTCGCGAAGTCCCGTGGGGGTCGGATCACTCCGAAACGATAAAATCAGAAAGGCTTCCACAAAAACGAATTATCGTCGTGCATCAAGACGGAAAAAGGCATCAAGGGGAGAGGGCCATGGCGGCGGAAGGCAGAAACTCCGGCCGTCATGGGTTTGGGGGATAGGTGGTGGGTTCGAAGCCTTCAGGCCTCGWCATCGGCCTCACKAAGTGACCGGACCATCGGGTTTTTGCTGTAGAGGTGGTTGSTTCRAGGTCTTCAAGCCTCGGCGTCGGACTCRCAAAGTCCGCGYGGAAGTTTCCGAGAGGGT